GGTCTATAATGCTACTTTATTTCTGAACTTTATCGACAAAATGGCCTTTTCCTTATTACATACCCTGCTGATGTACTGAATTATGTTCACAGCTACTGCATTCCACATCTTCAGTGAGCACAATATTTATTTTTACTATTTCCTCTGTTGTGCTGCTCCCGGCCGTGTGCATGAATTATCAGCATAACAGGTTGGATTGTCACAATCAAGCGTGATAAAATTTACATTACTTAAAAGCAAGAAGCCGATCGCTGCACAAACAATAACAGCCAGGTTTATTTTAGTGCTAATTAAACGCTGTTGATAATAAGAATATCTGACCTGCAGCATGTTCTCGCACCTGTTCAGAATATTTATGGGACAGCGAGGAGATACTGTGAAACTCCCTTTCTCGAGCTTTAGGGCAGAAAAGACCTTGGAGGACTTGGAGGCCTTAGAAAGAGGAACACTAAGAATGAAATAGCAGATTATAAATCTCATGGTTCGACAGACATAAAGGATTAAAGTTACTGAAAGAGCAACTGCAACAGTTGCAGAAATGTGAATAACTCCCTCTGAGATTTCCCTACCATTAAACCCAGATATCAATGAGTGCCGCATGGTCGACAGTGTGTGCAGTTAAGTAGTGTGCCAAAGGGAACCACATGCCGTTAAAGCAGAAAGTTGCACACGGGTAGAGAAGCACCAAAGCACTATAAAAAGAACCATTAAAAGTTTAAAAATGTCACGCCATGCTTTAGAAACCAGTCTGCCGCCATGTTAGCAGCTCTTTGAGGCAGCGCTTTGAGCTAAATGCTAACGTCAGCACGCTGATACGCTCACAACAACAATGCTACAGGTTTAATGTCACCGTGTCAGTTCAGTGTCATAGCATATTCACATTTGCTAATTAGCTTCAAACATAAAGTGCAGCTGAGGCTGATGGGAATGTGATTAGTTTTGCAGATATTTGGTCATAAACCAGAGTTTTGGAGGAGCTAAAACTTTGACCTGATGATGGCGCCAGATGAAAAGCTCATCAAGCAGTTGTTAAGTTCTGTCAGTCTGTACCAAAGTAAGTGATGGATTGCCTGAATGACATTATCGTCCGTAGAGCCGCGCCGCAGGCGTGGCTAAAAATGTTCACATGAATGAAGTAGTGTGCTTTAAATGGCAGTTTTTTTTAATCTCCCGGCTCATGCATTTGACTGTTTTATAACCAACTCTATCTTCCTCTCCTTTCACTCCAGGTTGTTTCTCTCCTTCATGGAAAGAGAAAAGGAGTTCCAGTATTTCTGCTGAGGTCAGACACTCCACCAGCGCTGCATGTTATTAGTGAAACCAGCCGTATTGCCATGGACATAATAAAAGGTCGCCCTGATTCATGGACACTGCATCATCACGCGGCTGCCTCTGGCCACAATTTTCAAGCTTTCCTACTGGAGAAATCCAAGAGCTGGGCCAACGACACCATTTTTCAAATGCAGAAAATGCTGACAAAGAGATACTGCGCTGCTACAACAGTGATTATTTCCTGCTGTTTCAAAGCGGGTGAAATGAGATCAGCAATGAACATCGAGAAACTACCCAAACAGCAGATTGCACAACCACAAAGAAGACAAAAAGAGAGCGCACGCCGGGTGATGGACATTGAAGTTCACATGAAGTACAAGAGACGGGCTGCGGTCCGTCAACGTGACGTTTTCCAAGCTGCTGCTCTGCACTCTGGCAGCTCTGAGATGAAAACTTCAAATATATCACAGTTAGAGATACAGAGAAATTCAGCCAGAACTGTAAAGAAAAATGAATATTTGAACTTGAAGTTGTTGCTAAAAAGAACTCAGAAGCAGCATCCTTTAAACGCTGCGTCTAGTGTGCATGATGATGATGGATTTTATGTTGAGAGGCGAGTCTTGGTATCCAGAGAGAAGAAGGGATCCATACATAGGCCGCAGTCCAAGATAAAGGCTACTCAGGGTGGTAATAAAGTGGATTTCAATGAGGTGATAATCACACAAAGAGCAGAGTCGCGACGCCAAGAGGGAGAAAGTGAAACACAACGATCGCAAACAAATACTGATGCAAATGGAAACCACAAAAGATTAGCACACATCCTCCAGGCAGACTTTATACATAAGACAGGTGATAACGATGTTGATACAGAACAAGTGTTTACTGAGGCGGGAGAAGAAGTCTTAATCATGTTATTCCTTCCAGACACCGAGAGGGAGACACAAACAGACCCATCATCGTGTCTGAACACAGACACTGGGTGGGAAATAGTCAGAACTCCAATGAAGTTGCTGTATGACCCCCCACCCGAGACTAAAGTTATAAGGCAGAGCTTTTTTATTGAACCAGGGAGCTTGAAAGAAAGTCTGTTTTCATTAGAAATGTATGTGCTGGATAGAACAGAGAGAATAGATATAAAACCAGCAGAGAGAAGAGCTAAAGTAACTACAGCGTCTGTTTACACCGAGGAACAGGTCAAAGGAACAGAAGAGACAGTAGCACACACAGAGACTAATAATTCGCCTCGTGAAAATATGGGCATAAATCATACTGAACAAGAGGAAAATGTGACATCAGAAGAATCAGTCACAACTTCACCTCCCTCACTCAAAATGACTGAGCGAGAAACTGCAAAAACAGAGCGCACGGCAGAGACAACTACAGTAAACATGGAGATAAAAGAGACAACATCAAGTACGGAAGTCTTCAATCAAGGCGGCACACACAAAGCAGACACACTGCCGAGTACAGAGACCCCGAGGACAGCAAAAACCCAGATTGGCGGTTTTTATGCTGGTTTTATAAAATGTAAAACTGGAAATACAGAAGCTCCGATTGAAAAGTCCTTCTCAGGCCTCAGGATGGGACAGGACGTCCCGGCAGAGACAATCAAACCTCACGAAGAGACAAACAGGCCTGAATCGGACAGGAAAGCATTCCAAGATGATCCAAAAGTGAAGTCATTTACATTTGCAAAACCTTTACCAACAATCCACGAACAAGCTACAGACACGCTTCAAACAGTGAGTCAAGATGCAATACCAGATTTCTGTGAGAATCCTGGTCAAATTAAAGGAATGGTTTGTCATTTTGGGAAATACACTGGCCAGAGTGTAAGATATTGATGCCTCTCTCATATCTGCACGTTAAGTGTAAGGCTACGGCTAACAACCGATATGCTTAGCTTAGCACAAAGGGTGGAAACAGCCAGCACATTTAAGTAATTACCATTTTATATCTTAATTGTTTAATCTCTATGAAAAACTAAGTGTAGAAACAGACACAGTAACTTCCTCTGGTCTCTGCTGCTCAGAGCCAAGAAATAGTTTGGCACATAACCCCCCCCCCCCCAATAAAACGCTTTTCTGAACTTATGAAACAAGACGTGTTAACGAGTGAGCTTTTAGAGGGGCTGGTTGCAAAGCTAAGCTAAGCTAATTGGCTGCTACAGGCATCAATCAATTCTTCTCAGTCTCAATCAGAGAGCGAATATTCTATTTCCCAAAATGCCGAGCTTTTGCTCTAAGGTAGATAAAGTGTTACATGAAAAACAGAAATTGGGGTTTAATTACACAGAAATGTGCAAAAATATAAAGCAGAGATGAATCTATCCAACAGGAAGGGGAATCTGAAGGGAGTTAAACGGATTATGCTGCATGGATGAGAAAACAATGTAATCCAACAGGGGAAATAGGCAAATAATTGGAAATACTTTTTTACCCAATAAATTATTGATCTTTGCGAGCAAAAAATGTTGCATTGCAAATAATGGGCCCCTAGATATATTACATCATTAGTTCAAATCCTCATTGACTAATTCAAAATGGGAATGTACCGTAAGAGGAAATGAGTCACGTTACACTCTTCACATTTCTCAGCAGTGAATGTACTGATGATGAAAGTTCTCCTCCACAGACTACGGATGACAACACGCCGCTCTGTGGAGGGTTAATGCATCGCACTGAGGATGGGTGGAAACACTGTGCCGAGAGATCTGCAGGAACGGGATCAAAGATGTTTTCCACGGATCCACTTAAGGATACAGGAGAGCAGGAGAAGGAGCACATCAGAGACCAGGACGTCAATCTCCTCAATGACCACGAATACGAGCATTTCTATTATTTTGATGGCGTGCTGAGAAGAGTGAGAAATAATTTTTACCCCTATTACAGGAGACAAAGGCGGCAAAAAAGGAGCCCTGGTAACACAGAGAATAGTGTTCTCAGAGTGAGGAACAAAGGAGACACTCAGGAAAATGTCCTCACTTATATCAGACGTCTTACTTCAGAGAATAAGGCCGGTCACTTCAAATGATCCGCCACTGAAGATGATTGAATACACACGGAGACTGGACGACCTGAACCTTGCAAAAAAACAATCAAAAATGCATCACAAAGAAACACATTTAAGCACCGACAATGCTGATGTCTAATTGTTACCTGCTGGCCAGTAAATGAAATGCGATATTGTGATTGGAGAGCTGAGTCTGCCATGTTAGAATGTCAAGAAACACTTCCTGCCAGGGCAGCTGGATGCGTTTGTAACTTCTACTTTGATGAAGAACGTGGCGGCTTTAGTAAATGCTTTTCACGGCAGATATTTTGATGTAGCATTCATATAGCATTAACCTTGTACTGTACAGTTAGGGTACCATCCTCACTCTGGCCGAGTTCATAATTAGTTACAGATATTTCTGGTTATTGGACACCTCTTGGCTGTATTCAAGTCCACATTTCTGCATAAGTTAAGATAATATTTATGTAACGGATAATGACCCTTCTGACCCGAGAGAATTCTGTCTTGAGGAATTAGAACATTTGTGCTTCTCTTCCTCCATCTTGTGATGCAACAGATATGCATATTAAACAATAAGAGAAGTTATGTGGCAGAGCAATGGTTGATATTAATGTTTGATCTGCACAACCCCGGAGAACAAACAGGCGATTCATTTTTCAATGTAATCAAACATGAAAACAACAGTTTTTTCAAAACAATTCAAAAGACGCTCATCTGTACAAAACATTTATTTGAAATTGACATAAAAACAGCTTTGATGTATTTGCATAATTTATATCTGAAATTCATGACAAGCAAACAATAACTAAGGGGGAAATGGCTGAGCGGAAACGCTGGACAGAAGGTTTCTCTACACGAGAGGAAGTTAATTGAACAGTTTAGGACTTGGCAATAAGATATATAAAAGTAAAAACACAGAAACTATTCTTTAGAAAAAAAGACAGCCACGTGAAGTGCCACAGAGTGAACAAAACATGCATGCTGCTACTTCAAAGGCCAAGAGGAATCTTTAAAAAGAAACAAGACAAAGAGTTTACCAACGCTTTAAAAAGGAGTTAAAAAGGGAGAATGTTCAGTGAGAGAGGGGGGGGGTTCAGACCCCTAGAAATTGATGCCGGCTGTATTTTCATCGTCTGTTAATAGATGGCAGTGCCAGCACTGTAGCATCACTCTTCAGCAATAATATAGAACTCTGTAACTCTTTCCTTTATACATGCTGCAGAAGAATGGGCCTAGTCTAGTTTAAAATGTCACAACCTCGACAGCCAACGGCTCCGGTTGGTGCTGCTGTTGCTCTGAATAACGCCACACCTCACTATATTCATGTTGGTTTGTTAATAGAGCTGCATATATACACACACATGTACACGTCTTGAGGCGTCGGTGCGCTCTGGACCTTCGTCTGTACATGTGTCAGAATGAGGGGGAAAATACATTTGAGCTTCTTTTTAAAATCAAGAAAAAAAAAATAGTTTCCTTCATCTTGTTTTGAGTCTAACCAAAGACGAAACAATCCATATCTGCCACGTCACCGCTGACATGTACAGGAGGACTGTTCAACGGTCAGGACTCAGCAGGTCAGTTCTCATTGTTTTCTAAGATTGGACGTCACCTCAACTCCAATTTGAAATGACACACTCTGCGTTTAGCATCGTGAAAGCTTCCACACTCCGCCGAATGTGGTCTCTGGAGAGGAAATGGCACATGTAACATTGACACATTGACAGTGTGGACCAGAGTGCTACACTTAACACGGCACGGCGAGCAGGGACACTACGGAGCTTCAATCGCACCTTTGAAAAGTTGGATGTCAGTGATTTTGCCCCGAAGCTGAACGTCATGTTGTCCAGGGTCGTTTGTTTTGAAAACGGCATAAATATTCAAAGTGAATTATTATTCATTACAATAAATACGTCAATAAATAAAATGACCTTTGAAGTTGTCCAAGTTACATGGAAACATTATGGAAACAGCTGCTCCAACAGAAACAGCTGGTGAAATTCCTTCTACGATGTCGTGTGCGGAGCAACACTGAGCATATAAAAGACCGGACGACACAGACTGAAAGCGTTTCTCCAACGTCACTCGATTGTTCAAAAATCTATTTTTGAATGGCTACGCTCTATGAACATAATGACATCAGGATCCCTAAATAAATTTAGCTGATCAAATGGCACTCTTATGATTAGTAAAGCTAACCGTCCATCTTAAATCTACATAACAACAAATATAGCATGATTTTAATTTGAAAATCCTACATGTGCCAGAGGTCAGTGCATCAAAGAGGCACAGTATTAGTGACGTAGCTAATGCCACTCCTACAAACCAGTGTATATCCTTGTCTCCAGGGCGTGTTTTGTGATCTGAGGGCCAGATGCGTGACACACACACACACACACACACACACACACACACACACGCGCACACACACGCCCAGAGACGTTTCAGTATTTGGACGCATGTTGCTCCATTAGAGCCTAAAACATGCAGTCGTTTCTGCCTGTGGAAGCAGACACCTTCGCATTAATCTGCTCTTTTTCTTTTTTTTTTTCAAACACAATTTCATTGTTGTCTCTGGCAGTGATTTTGTTCAAATTTGACCACGCGACTCTTTCTTCATTTTTTGGTATTACACCTCCGCATTTGGCGAGTAGTCGACATCTTCAGAGCTCTGATAAATACGGCTCGACTTTCCCCTTTTTGTGTTTTTCTTTTTTTAAAACTACTGGCTTTTTGAGTACATGGCTGGTCAGCCACAAAGAGGTAAGCCTGTTCGTGAGACACAATGTCCACCGACAGTATCTGTGTGCTTTGAATTTTTTTTCTTGCATTAAGTACTTTGTGGTTACTTCGTTCGCAGTCCCCGTTACTTCAGCTTTCAGGGTGCGTCTGCGTGCTTGTAGTAGCCGCTCTGCAGGGCCGCAGAGGCGATGCTCTCAGCTGAGCGCCGCTGGTCCATACTTAGCAAAGCCTCTAACAGGTCGTTGATGTCCGCTTTTAGTCCCTGCCGCTGCATCCAGTTCTTCAGCAGTTCATACACTTTGTCACTGGGGGGGCCGTTCTCCGCGATCCGAATGTGGTTGTCACTGACCCCGATCATTCTGAAGAACTTGTTATGGATCCGCACGTCCAGGTACTCGTCGAACAAATCGAAGCTCTTCTTTAGGGATTTTTCTGACCCTTTAAAGAGAAAAAAATGTAGATTGAGAGACACATAAAGGCACATAAGCTGCAGAACACACAGAAACTCTGTGTGAGCAAACTGAAGCGTTTATCTCGATTGTCATTTCACCCATTTTCCTTCAGGGGATGCACACATTTGAACATTTGAATACACGATCAAATAAATCTTTAATCAAGCATGAGAAAAAAACAACACCAAAAAAAGGCGGCACGTCCCGACCCCCGAAAGGCTCAGACACTGCCTGACTGTCATGAGATCATTAACCTATCAAGCAGATAATGTGAGCTCTTGAGGAGATCCTGTTTATTAAGACTGCCTGTTAGCTCAAATCAAGTGGCATTAAAAGTGTTTGGTCGAGGGGGAACCTCCCCCTCTCACTGCTGGAATCGGAAATCTTACCTTGTAGAGGCACCAATCGATGCTGCAGAGGATCATCCTACAACACAAAACACAAATGTAAGCGATGGTGGCACAGGTGGTTAAAACACAAATGTCTTGAATGTGTGAGAACCGCACCATGTCTGCAGGTGGCAGTCGGATGGCAGCGGGGCTCTGCTGCGGGGTGTTCGGGGGGTTGTTATCGGGGGAGGCTGCGGTGGGCGGGGCTGACAGGCTAGTCTGAGAAGAACTAGTGGTGTTGGGCAAGCTGTCTCCTAGACCCCGGTCCTCATCTTCGAGCGGAGGGGAGGCCTTGGTCATCCCGGTCTCCTGCAGCAGGGGCCGGGACTCCGGGCGGGACTCCTCGCCCTCCAGACCTGCGTTCTGATTATTCTGTCTCTCCTCGGCCGTGGCTCCACTCTCGTCCTGACCACAAAAAAAAACAGTGGAGGATGGAGAAAGGTGACATATTGTACCAGCGATTCTGTATCTTAACTGTGACGGCTACACAACAATGAAGCCGTTAAAAAGGTGCACAACGTGGGTGAAATCAAACACAACAACTTACGATAGGAATCTTCACAATTTCACTGGAATCACAATGGCTCGTTGAACCTGTTCAACAGCAGACAAACAGCATTAAGAATACACACCTAATAAGCAAAACAGCAACGCAAAGGTGCACTCGATGTCAACTCACATGGTACTTCACATGAACGCTGCTTGATTACGAACCACCAGTGCAAAAGCAGTGCAGCAATGATGGCGATGACGATGATGGCCAGGGAAATGCAGATAGGCGAAACTGGAAAACATAAATCAGTGAAGATGAACAATCAAGCAGGAAACGGCCTACGATGTTAAGCAGAAGGCTTTGCGTCAGAAGCGGCGGGGTTACCAATGTCGGCTGGAGAAGTGGGGGTCGGTGTGGGGAGGGCTGACGAAGTTTCCGTTGGGGACAGATCCCGTTTGCGACACTCGGTGTTAGAAAATGGGGTGCACTTCTTCACCTCCTCCTCCCCGGATTTACACCTGTGATTTAGTGGAACAAACATATATTTGCATTAATAATAAAATATACAATAAAAATAACTTCATAACCCTTTCAGCTTCAAGCTGGTCCTCAAGACCAAAGCCCCCTTATGACCACAGGAACTCTACCCAGACACTAGAAACCTTTTGAGGAAGTCATTGTTTCAACTGCAGGGACAAGGGTCTAAATTAAGTTCTGGACATTTTACCCCCAAAAAAGGCCCGGTGCTACAGGTAGCACTTTCTCAAAATACTTTGTTCACCAAACAAGGAAGTACTCTTGTATCGATTTAGGACCGTTGCGTTCTAAAACACATCCAACGTGCCTTTGTACATACGATGCAGCAGTAAATGCTGTTGCAGTGAGACAAAACACAAGATGTATTTTCTCAATGTGTCCTAAACTGCACGCTGCGACCTTTTTAGTTCCTTGAAAAGTAATCCCGGGACTAAAACTACCAGGAACTTCATGGTAGTAATGCTACTTAACAGTCCGTTTATTTGTTTTCTGCCAGTCTGGGACTGAATCTGAATTAAGCGAGGATAAGTCAAATTAGCTAGCTGTTTAAGATGGAAACTCAACAATGCCGTGGATGCTTAAGAATCAGCCCGTTATCCTAGAATTACATTCAAAATTGGATAATATTGATACGCAGAACTGAAAACTATTTCAGTAAAAAGACGTAGAGGACACTTACTTGGCACAACGTTTGCAGACTTCGCAGGCCTGATCTGGGACACAGAAGGTACCCGGTCTGCACTGGCAACTGGTGTCTGTGGTTGTGGTGCAGGATGCAGTTTGAATCTCATCTGTGGAGCGCAAAGTTGTGAGAAGACATGAAGAGATGAAGACATGGCAGACGTGAGCTTGTTTGTGATAAGTCATCAAAATGAAGGACCTAAATCCAGCCATATTAAACAGATGAAATCTATACAGAGATAGACAGATACACATGTAACAGCATGTTCCCACATCAAATACACAAACAGACATAAAGCAATACATGATGACAGACAATGATGCATGGACAGACAGGAGTCTTTAAAGGAAGCGATGCAGCTTTCACTTGGTGATCTGACTTTGTGACGCAGACAGAGCTGTACAAGCAGACTCATAATAAACTCGTGACCACCGACATCCATTAAACGAGAGAGAATAAGAAGGACGTCTCAGGTAATTCGTTGGCCTTTAGAAATGATGTGGTCGTTTTTTTTTTGCAAAGTTAGAAGATTGCATCTCCAAGCATGACTCCCTGTTAGATAGAATCTGCCTCATCTTAACAGGATAATGAGGACGGAGAACCTGGCATGGTTCATTTATTAAATTGAGACATGAACAGACCGTAACCCCCGGCCTTTAAGATAAGATCAAAATGAATAAAACCAGTGGTCCACCTCCACAGAGATCTGATGTGCATGCCAATTAAGGAAAAAGTACAGCGGCAGCTTGATTTGGCAGCTTGAAATGCGAGCACACTTAATATAAAGTAATTTTCTTCTAAAATAATGTTTCTAAGATTGTATTCAGACAATTCAGCTCATTTTGTAGCAAATTATGAAGTAAAAAAAAGAGTGAAGTAGGTTTTTAGATATTCATTTCTAGAGCTAATTTATGACCCGATTCACCGACACGAGACTCACGGTTAGTCAACTTTTCTACAAGTGACAATTACAAAGTCCACAATCAGTCATCTGCCCTAAAAAACACTTTGTCACCTTCATAAGGAAACGAGAAGGTGCTCAGCAGTGCTGTTTATGAGCTGAGAATATACAGCATGTGTGTCCGTACACGTGAAGGAGAGTAATAAATGGAGTCTACTGATCACAGCCAGCTGAAAGACTCCAGAGTTTGTCTCCTCTCAGTCTACCTTCATCCTCTCTGTGACCATCATTGGGATGATCATGACAGCCTAAATGTTGCTGGGTAGAACGGGCCCGCGGATAGCACAGCTGTGACTTAAGCTATGCTATGCAAGACTATATATGGAACGACCTGATGGCTCGCAGCAACAACTTGGATTGCATGAACATAAACAGAGCAGGGGTTTGTCACCAAGCAGACTCGCGTATGGTTCAGAAGTGAGCTCAATGAACTTTTATTTCTTTTCATAGTTTACGCATGACACAGCATCAATTAAGTCCTTTTTTAAAATGTATTTTAGATATCAATGTCTGGATGTCACAAAACGTTTTGCAGCTTAACCAGGATAAAAATAAAATGTAGTCAAAGGTTCTAAAAGCTCAGAGAGAGAAAGTGGTAGCACAAATACCTGGTGAGGTCTTTGACTCAGAACTTCAAAGCTCGAGTGGGTTATGTCACCAAATCTGTCACCTCAAAAGGTATCAAAGTGACCCAAAGAGACTGATGCTCTCCGATCTGGTACATTCAGAACTCTGCTGGCCGAGTGCTGACCAGCACCAGACGGTTTAAAGTCAGCTTACATACTCATTTTCAACGTTTTTAAACCTTTTTACTTGATTTTAAAAGACTTGGCGGTCTTGCACCTGCATGCCTCACACGCATACAGCGTATGAACCGGTGTGGCCCCTCGGGTCACTTGCTCCAGAGGGCCGGACTAAAACCTTTGATGAGTCAGCTTTTAGCTGCTGGAACGGCCTGCCTGAGGATCTGAGAGCAGCTGGAGGAGGTTCATCATTTTTTTAATATAAACTTAAAACCTACATATTCAGCTGGCATTAAGAATGGTAATATACATTAAACACTGTTTTTTCTATTTTATTGTTTTGTTATTAAATCACTTATTTTTGTGTTTTTAATCTGAACAATTTTATTCTATTTTATTCATCATTTTATTATTTCACATTGTTTTACTAATGTTACCGTTATTATAGCTCTTAAATCTAATCCACTACATTTTTCACCATTTTTTTTAATTTTCTCGTTGGTCTCAAATAGTTTTTGTCTGTTCTGTGGTTCTCTCGGTGCACACTTCTTCCGTCCTATTTTACCTTGAACTGCACTAACCTGTACGAAAGGTGCTATACGAAAAAAGTTCAGCTAACATCTCAGAAGTTTTAAGAGGCATAACTATTGACGCTCTCACAGTGTGTACTGGTAGATATCATACACTACTGGGTCCCTGCCTGATGTCAGTATTCTTGCAGTGTGAGCTGGGTTGTGTCTGCTCTCTGTTCACACAAACACTCACACACAGAGAGACCACTACTGAGTTTATCAAAACAGTCCTTAACTGGTTCCTCTGCCAAGCTATTGGGACAATGGGTTTGATTGTTATGATGTTAAATGTTATACAACAATCAACACGCAATGGCAACTTTCCAATACGAAAAACAATTTCCTTTGGAGGTTGTTTTGTTCTTTTCTAAAGACGGAGCGAAGACACTCGGGGACATTCTGGTTTACTGCTCGGCTGTTAAACGCTCGGCCCCAAAGAGCACTTTCATCTCTTAGTGATTGTAGAACACACACACACACAGGTTTGAAAACAACTGTAAAAATAGGTCACAAATAATGTTTAAAAATCTTGGATGGTTGGAATATCGGGAAGTTTCTCACATTAATCCTTTTGATTTAAAAGGCCTGATTGTAAACTTTCTACAAAGAGTTAAATAGTAGTTAAACCAAGCCGACTGCTTCAGTTTGTCACATTGTTTTTAACCATTTAGTTAATTCCATCAGGCTATAAATCATGTTCTGTTGTGTGCTCAGCTTTGTTAACAGTGGAGCCATTTCATACGCTGTTGACAAAGCAGAACTTCCTCGTTTCCTTCCCGCCGTTGCGAGAGAAGCAGCTTTTTTTACACTGAGAATGGAAAACAGATCCCGAGCAAGTGTGACACATCACAGCTGTCAGTCTTGTCAGTCTGCCCAGTGATAATTAGAATGTAAAACATGCAGTGTGACGGTGACAGGTACGACTTTGATTCCTTGATTCCGTTATGCTATGAATTGGGAGGTGCTTTGAATAAGTCTGTTTTGAGGGTGGAGCACAAAGTTTTAAAATGAAAATGGATTTTCAGTGCTGCTGCGGTTTCCTGAGCTTCTGTAGTTAATAGTAAACATGTGAGGTACAGGAGGTACTGTGGTGCAGATAGAAGTAGTCCATAGCAAGGGAAACTTTTTTTATAGTTTAATTCACATTTCCTTTGCCGGTGACCTATTAATTATTACACGGTGGTAAATAAGTTAAAACTAGAGCAAAAGCACACAAAGTTCTTTCTTAAAACCGCGATGACTGAGCACAAAACACATCCCATGTAACAGTAGTCTCTTTTCTGTAGCTCCAGCCTTTCATTGGACACAAAGACGCCCCAGTGTGGGACACAATGAGACACAGACACACCCAGTGCAGCCAGGTAGGACAGACACACAAGCAGCTCTCCGGAGACGGGCAACATGCTCACATTCAGCCCACGAAACAAAACAACAAAGACACGCCCTGCGACTCTCTGTAACATCACAAGATCACATTTACAGGAGAGGATCTGAGAGGCGGGGCACACACAAAAAGGTATCAGCTTTCCCAAACAATATATCTTTGACACACTGGACTTCAGAAAACGCCACTTTGGAGATAAAAGGAAAAGCAGTTAAGTGTTCCTTTATTTTTCTTCTTTCTTTTAAAAAAATCTGGGACTCATTTTCAGTGTTTTTGAAAATATTCCTAGTACGTAGACCTAGTAGACCTGTACTTCCTGTAGTTATTAATAAACACATATTTACAGGGCAGTGGTCTCATTACAATAGACAAGTCTTCTGTAGTCACCCATTTGTCTTTCACATAAATGGACAGGCAATATGTTGATTGATTGACGAGTCAATTCAACAGAAAAGTTAACAATTTTAATAGTAGCTTAACTGTCAAGTCATTTATTTTTACACAATAATGCTTCCAAATGTAGTTGGTTTCCGGTTTTCTTTAGAAAGTTCAGCATCTTTGGGGCTTTTTTGCTATAAACTGACACTTTATAGATCAAAAATAAATAAATGTTGCATGCTAATATGGTTAAAGCATCATGGTCTGACCCCTCTCACCGATCGTTGTAAAGTTCTTTACCCAAATCCTAGTAAATGGTATTTTAATGAATAAGCTAAGAACCCAACTTGTTCCCACTGACTCAGTGATGCGGACGCTGTGGTTACCTGAGCGGCAGTGAGTGCAGGGCAAACAGCGGTTCATCCCGTTGGAGTGCTCCGTGTAGGTCTGTCCGTGCTCACAGGGCAGACAGGTCCCGTGTTCTTGGTCTCTTTCGCATCCCTTCTGCACAAAGGTTCCTGCAAACAACGACTCACGTGATGAATATACACACATTACAGGTTCTTTGCTTCTTTACTGTGATGGCTTTCCACACCACAGGGATCACACTGAGCTTCCAAACTGTTTTATACGAGATGACAGGTTTTCCTGGAAGTTAATGTCCACATTTCACAGGGACTAGAGGAAAGACAGGAAGCGATTCACTGAACTGCACCGTGATTCCACCACCAACCCCCTTCTGGGCGACTGTAGTGCTAAGGATTTGTGTACTCAGTTGAGGCGTGCTTGGAATAAAACCACTTGATTCTCATGTGTTTTCAGGGTTTATCTGATGTGAGGATTAAAGACACAGTGGAGAATGGGAAATATACAATAGAGGGCAAAGACAGTTAGCAACTGCATGCTAAATATGTACTGAGCTAAAGGAGAAAGGAAACAGCCTAAACTTCTTTACATAATAAATGAATATGGCTGGTACTTTCAATTACTTGGAACTTAAATAACCTCCACTGCATATTCGGCACTTTTCCCTTTCTCTCTGTGACTTGGAGCAGTTTGCCTCCTGCCTCTAGCCATCATGCATTCTTTCCAGACAATGCAGGGAATATTTGCTAAATTCATTAGGGACACAGTTCAGGTTACGGGTTCAACATTTGACTCAAGTCTTTCACACAAAATGCTGTCTTTTAAATCTGCACTCAGTCCTTGAGACTACGAGAGACACCACTATGTGTTGATCAGAGGGAGTTTCGGCTGGCGTACTTATTCAGGCCCACATTCCTCATGTGTTCGATTGGTACTGGAGCTGTAATTGCTACTGTATATTCTACTTAATGTGGTTCCCCTTACCAGCCTCGCAATTGTGGCAGCAGAGTCCCTGGTGGAGATACTGCTCGTTCTCCACACATGTTCTGTGACGACGAAGGGTGAGGTTCTTGTATTCATCGCCGGACCACTGAGATGCTGGAGGTTCGGCTGCGTGACACACCAGCCCGACGAGGAGCGCAGCCACAAACACCTGGATCATCGAGGTCAGGGAGGGAGAGGGAGGGAGGAAAGACAAAAGCTTTGCATTAGTCTTGCACAGTATCCAGACTCGCCCACTCAGACTCATTACATGAAGGACAGTAAAGAGGAGAGTCTATCTTCATAGGAAACCTTGTGTGAGCAATCTACGACTTAATTTGAACCATCTGATCTGAGCATCTGCCGTGAGAAAGCAATTATGGGAGCTCATCCAGCTGGTCAGAACTAGAAGCAAAAACAAGCCTGTGTGTGCACGGACACAAAGCTACACACTAACGACATGCGGCGCAACAGGCAACCGAACTTAATTACTCCCATTGATCTGGTTTTCTTTTTAAAAGGAAGAGTCTCTGCTGTGGGTGTAGCAGACAGGGTCCGATAAGATATCCCGGTTAACACCACCGCAGTGCCCATATCCAATGTGCCTCCACAGCTCCATTCATCTGCTGGATAATAACAGGGCTTGTATAGGTGGGGTACCGAGAAGAATACGGCCGAAACGCTTTAGTGTGGCCCCCAGGCGCTGGTGTTTATTCACACGCTTTTCACCATGTCAATGTGAGAAGGCCCCATTCACTGGCAAACAACGCACTTTAGTGCCTCTACTTCAAATGACCCACATTCTTAAACCCTCGGCTCTTTGAATGCCGCGACATGTGACACCGCCATCCAGCGCCCCCAAACGCAACACGACACCTCCCGGGTAAGTGAGAGGCCTAAGATTTGGAGGTTTTTGTCTCTCCTGTGCAACCACCCCCCCACCTCCACCTACGCCAGGCCAGGAGAGAAAGGGAACAGGTTAGGGCGTGGAGAGGCAGGGGGGTAGGGGGGGGGGGGTTGATTCAAAGTGAGAAATTGTAGACAGCGAGTTGAGGATAGGACGTTCTGCAGGGAATAGGTTTTCTAAAAAAGACAGTGTGGGAGAATGAGGGGAATAAAACGGATAAACAGAGGTAGAGAAAGAGGGACAGGCTGGAGCTGTGAATGACTCCTGACGCTAAAGACTTGTCTCTCTGGAGGGCCGCCATGCCTTGTTGTTCAAAAGAACTTTCCCCTCTCTCTCTCGCTCTCTGCCTTTCCCCGTCTTCCTCTCTCCCTCTCTCTCTCTCGCTCTCTGCCTTTCCCCGTCTTCCTCTCTCCCTCTCTCTCTCTCTCTCTCTGCCTTTCCCCGTCTTCCTCTCCCTCTGCTCACGTCAGACTTTCCAAAGATGCTGAGAGGCAGACGTGGAGGGGCAGACGGCCGGCAGAGCAGTCACAATCACACCATTTAGATCTATCCAAACATTCTCTGGGTGGGGGGGGGGGGGGGGAGAGAGGGAAGGGGGGGGGGGAGGGAATAAAAAGGTGGAGGTGGGTGTGTGGGGGGGGGGCACTTGAACACGCCGTGTGTATGACTGCAGGGTGGGGGGATGCAGAGACGAGGTACTTGGGGAAAGAGCAAGTAGGAGGCCGGGTGAACAGGCAAGAGAGCGAAAATCTGCGCACAAGCATACGTGCACGGCAACACAGTGGAAAGAAGAGATGAGAAGAAAAGACAACTGGGGAAAGAATGAGCTGCACTAAAGGTAATCCTACACTTCTAAGAGGCTCAAGTCAAATTGCACCGAATGTGCAGAAGCTTGTTTATCCAGCCGAGTAAGAAGCTAAGAAATCCCACGGCCAATCGAAAGCTACACACTCAGGTGTGTCTTTGACAGCGAGGATGCACAGACAGCACAGAGATGACTTCACTTCCAGTCTTTGTTCAATCCTGGGCCTGTGATTCTAAAACACTCGCAGCGGTGCAGCTGCCCTCAACAGCTAACCTGTTGTGCTGCAGCAGCTGAAGGTTCGCAATGCAGAACATCCAGTTCAAGCAGGGCTGTGAGTCCTGTGATCGGCTTATTGAACGTGAGGTAACAGCGAAACATCACAATTACACAAAGCCCAAGGTGAATGTGAGAATCAAGAACCATCTCTGTTCAGCTTTTATTTTGAAATAAGAGTCCAACGAGCCTGAGGGAAACCTCGCTGTGTGGTAATTCACAGACGAGGAAAAGGGAACATGTGTCCACCACGCTGACTTCTGCTAAACTACATGAGCGCAAAAGCGCTGTTTACACAAACACTTTGGGCAGCCGCAATGTGGCTCAGCTTTACCTCTACGGCCGAGCGAGGAAGGAAGACCAGAGTGACCATAACCTCAGTGTCGAAAGCCCTCCAAACCCACAATCCCTGGAAAAGCTCCAAGCGCCCGGCTGAAGCACTCCAGTCCACTCCACAGCGCTCTCTATCCTCTGCACCACGAGTGGGCTCGGCTGCAGATTACTGGGTTAAAACAGAGTCCCATTGTCAAGCTTCCGGTGTGTGTGCACGATGGGTTAGTACCACGCTTGTGTGGATGCAAGTTAAACTAATAAAAGGTTACAATAAAATAATGACGGGACCCTCTGTTTACAGTTAGCTTCCCTCCGCTTCCTCTAAACACTCTGGGTTCTTCCAGAACTGCCTTGGCACAAACGCAACACATGCCACATGTACACTGAGAACAGACTGAACGACAGGACATCCTTTCAGCTGACTTATGGTATCAATGGGCCTTTTAGAGGGGCTGATGGCTCCACATCCCTGAAGGAATCACAGTGACCGCCATTATGAAAAAAGAAAAACGCAGTGAACTCTTGCACGCACACACAACGCCACACACATATATGAACGAAGGGAGGCTCTTCATTTCATATTGGACGGATGATTTCAATCACAGCCAACTGATAAGGAACAACATGATGCACCTCGTTATACCGCTGTGTTCCGACTGAGACCTGCGCTGCATCACGTTTTTCTTATTAGACAATTTAATCAATTTGTGATCGTTACGATATTGTATCTATACTGTCGGACATCATGACTATTAGATTGAAGATATTTCTAGGTACACGTGCTGAGGATGTGAGATTAAAAATATCAAATAATACACGTATGACTTTCCTCAGCTTACTCACACAGTCCATAGAGAACCAATTAAAAAGTGGTCACTTTGTAGTTTATGCAATCCTTGAAAGCCAGTTTTTGAGTGGAACCCAAACTGCACGCTGGTTTGTTGATCTGACAACGACTTAAACAGTTCATCGGATTATAGACTATCAGCAGCTGAGGGGGGGGGCCGAGTGGACTAACACCGATTATCAACCATTATTACTGCCTTATTACAACTGATGATATTTAAGGCCACAAGCACATGACGGACTGGAGGATGGAACAAACATGTTTTTTTCTCCACAGCTGTTCATTTTGCAACACGCCATAAAGCGTACCTACGTATGAAACGTTTGCTTCAGCTCGGTTGCCTACGACATGAATCTTCCTCTGAACTTCTTTATGAAACACAACCACAAACCTCCCACAACCATAGGAAGGAGAAACATCCACCGCGTCTCATAACAGAGGAGGTGACACCGTCGGCATCGCAGCTGTTCAGAGGCACAACTGGTGTCAGAGTGTAAACAGTGAAGCGATGAGATCCTCAGCGATCAGCCGCTCTCTTCTGTCAATTAAAAAAAATGCAGAACAAAAAAAAGGAACAACTGAGGACGTGAGATTTGAACACGAGGTCAACAGAAAAATACAGAAACACTGTCCTGTAACGTCTTCATTAGTGGATCAGTGAAAACTAATGTCCAATATTAGTTTGGCATCGTTTTTTTGTTTTTTGCTTTTTTTTATACATACGCCAACTCTTGTACGCATGTTCAATTCAAATCCCTCCAGGCCGAGCTCGACAGGACAGTGAAAGCTCTCTGCCTCACGGATAAGGCCCGGCATGCCGTGGAGGGGCGGGTGAGCATGCACGACTCTCCTTAAGTGATGAATTACACCGACATCCTGTCTCAGACGATGAGGATATGTACGACACTTGCCGCAAACAAATCCAAAGTAGTACAGCCGAGCTCGGGCACATTCGTCATAATAAAGCTGAATGATAGAAAATGAAGAGAGAGTGACTCCCGCGTCAACTCTGAAGGAGTTAAGAGAAGAAAGTGTGAGTGAAAGTGATCACAGTGTGAAAACCACAAAAGCTGCGTACACACACACACACACACACACACACACACACACACACACAAACACACACACACACACACGTGCACACACACGTGCACACACAC